GGACTTTAAAGTAAATCTATATAATTCTGAGAGCGTAACCCATTTTGGTTGCAAAAATTGGGAATCATTTTGCAAGATGTATGGTTTTGATGAGGGTATGCTTATCAACATGCATGGATCTTGGTAATCCTTACATCGACCAAGACAATATGGACATTTGGGTCCTTGTTGATACGCCTCCAGTTATACCGCTATGTGAGTTTCTCAAACATAGTTATTAGCTAATTTATATTGTTTATTTCAAAATAGTTGACACCTTATTTCCATTGACAACTTATTTTTATTGTTCAAAGCATGTGCGGGAGATGATAGACAAAACCCACTACACCGATGGCTCTGAATTAACAACTTACAAGGAGAAAAATCATCTGGTCGGATTTTGTACTGACATTGAGAATTACAATATCCACAATCAAACTCCTCAACATTATGGTAAATACGTGCCACTAGTGCATGTGTTCAACTACGGTAACTACCATGGAGATACCCTGGTAAGATTTTTACTATTACGACATTCGTGCATCTTTTGCATACTTCTAAAACTAATACATCATTGCTAACTATGAAGTTATTACTATGTTTTTCAACAGATAATCCCAGAGAATTGTGTGCCTCATTTGATGTATAAGAAAGGTAGTCTTAATGTTTTGAACATATAGCCAGGTCATCCTACGAATCTCAACTGTTCATACGAGATTTCTAAAAGAAGTGGAGACATGAAGATCAAAGGATGGAAAAAATGTATGGACAGTCGTAAGGAGGTTCTTGGAAGCAAAAGGAAGCGAAGCGCAAGAATTGGAGATAGGATGTTCTCCATTCTCCATAATGGAGAGTCAGGGTCTATATTGTTTTATGCTATTTTAGGGTATTTAGGTCCTGCCTAATACTGATGATCATATGCTAAGAACAATTAAGTAGGGTTGGTTCGATGACTATCAAGATGATGATCGTATGACTTGTTATTAATAACGAGTAGAAGTTGTATGATGATGATTAGTAGGACTTGTTAGGATTAGTATTACTTCCGACAAACTCACTACTCGCGGTCTCGAGACTTGTAGTGTTCTATCTTTATTCGGTCTTTTGAATTCGGAGACTAATATGATGAATTGTATTCGGAGACTAATCTTCTATTGTATTCGATGAATCTGCTCTTGCTGTGGGGTGATGTCTATATTTTGTCCAATAATATATTTTGTAACCTGTGCAAAATTCTGAAAAGTAAAAAAGAACTAATATTCTTACTAATGACGCATCACCCAACAGTGCACCATTAGTATGCCAGATACTAATGACGCATGGTGTTCTATACTAATGGCACATTGCGTGGTGCGCCATTAGTATATATCAGATAGTAATGGCGCACCGGCGGTGCGCCATTAGTAAGAAATACTAGTGGCGTGATATTAATGGCGCATCAGTAGTGCGCCATTAGTAGGAAAAACTGATGCGCCATTAGTAGCCCATTTCCTAGTAGTGTTGGCATGCAAAAAAAATTGAAGTTCGCATTTGCTAGTGTCTGTAAAGTTTCATTGAAATAATATTGGGAATCCACTACGGCCACATCCCCGCGTCGTCGTCCTCTGCCGACACCAGGGGGGGCGCTAGCCGCGCCGCCAGGCCCCCCTCCAGCCCCATGCACTAACTGCACCGCCACCGGAGGGGAAGCTGGCGAAGCCACACATGTCATAGGAAGGTGGCGGCGGGGCGTATTCTTTTGGTTGGCCGCTGTCCCGTAGCTCGCGGCGGTCGGTGCTGCTCGTCGGGTGGTGTGTGGTGTCCCTCTTGGCCGCTAGACCGCCCTGTGGTGGCCGCGCGACGATGTGTGGATGGGTCGGCTCTGGGTGGGCGCCTTGGTCTCCTCAGGCAGGCGTGCATGGTGGCGGAGATGGTCTTGGTGGATGTTGGCTGGTGGTGGATGGTCTCGGGCTTCGCCCAGGTCGGCCATGGTGAGCGGAATGGTTGGAGCTTGCTCTGATCTATGCACTGGTCTAGCAAGACAAGGAAGTGCCTTAGTTGCCCTGTTCCTGTCTGACTTGATGGTGGCAGATTTGGCAGATGGAGCTACAAGATGCAATTCCTCCTGGTGTGGTGCTTAACCTGCTTGAGCAGCTCCCGTGGCTTTGGGTTCGAAGATCTTGGGTTGAGAGAAATCCGTCCTTCGTGATGGCCGAGCTTGACAACGGCAACCCCCAAGTGCGTGTCCCCTCCTTGAAGGTGTTGTTTTGGCCCGGATGACTCCCTTCCTTCTGCTTGGGGGAAACCCTTGCTCTGGCATCCGGATCGGACCACGGCGGCATCATGATGTCGTTCCCTTCTTGAGGCGTCGTCTTGCTTGGTCGAGAAGTCTCGATGGTGCCGCTTGAGTACGTGTTGGCTACTACTCTGGGAGTGGGCATCTAGGGTTCAATGTACACCATCGTCGGCGCTCTCTCGACGACGCCTTCTCTAGGTCCTCCAAGGCCCTGCCATATACTTGCCGACTTCCTCTTGGCACAATGGGTGGGTACGTTGGTCTGGGTTGTCCTTGAGTCTTGATCATGTTGTGTAGCTCTCCGGCATTGGTTGTGACGCGGCATGGTTGCTCTGTTACTTACCCCATTGTCATTGGCATGATTGGTCTAGCTGTAGCATGTTTTGTAGTACTTGTGGTTGTTGTGCGTGGTGGGTGTGGCAGCTAATCATCGCGATTAGCGTTGTAATGGCCGAAAAGCGTGGTTCCGTCAAGTGTGGTTCCGCGTCTTCTTAGTACAATGATATGCATGCTTATGTGCATTATCGAGAAAACTATTTTATTTGAGGGGTGTAAAGTTTCATCAAGAAAAATTGAGAGAGTAAAGTTTCGTCAAATAATACGATGATTTGAAGCCTACGCAAAAAGACAAGACCATTCAAAAAATTCCGAAAATAATAAACCTTAGTGAGAAATTTGAAAAATAGGAAGGACGCTAGGAATAACAACGTCCAAGGCTGGACGCCAGTACCAACAACGTCCAGGTTGGACGCTTTTATAAACTTCGCCAACCGTTTGATTTGACCAGATCCTGACTGGCTACCTCCGGCATTGAACTTCTACCCTCGGCCACCTCTGCACGGCCAAAGGTAGACTCCGCCACATCTAGCCCACTGAAAATGCAGCTTTAGCAACACACCATCCTCCTTTCTCCATTGAAGCGGCGTGCTGGCTGAGGGTGCCGCCCGTGTGGCATCACTGGTGTCCACGCCTGTTCAATGCCGGCGACGCATTACTATATGGGACGGAACAAATATCTACCATGCCGTTCAATGCCATGTCAGTCCGTATGCTACCATGAAGCAGGCTCACCGGTCGAGAAACCGACTTCTGCGTCGCACATTGACGCACCCATACACATTGCTTCACCGGAATCCGCTATTTAAAGAGGGCCACACCCAGACGCCTTGCCGCACCTGAATTTGATATTTTAAGGCGTCGCTTTTGAAGAATTTGAACTTTGGTGTATTGTCTTGGTGGTGGTTCGTGCTACAGTTACTAAGAATTGGTCACTCCAACGGGATCTTTTGGTTTTTCTTCCTTTTCTTTTTGTTTATGGGTCATGTGCATCCGTAATGTCTTTAGGACATTTTGTTGTTGCAGAGGCTAGGTGTAATCTATTCCCTTTGTCGTAGTTTGGTGATATTATATATTTCCTTTGTCGAAAAAAATCTATTAGAGAAAATACTCTCAGTTAAATAAGAGCACTTGATAAGTTGATCCCACCTTGCGTACTCCCACCTTTGCCTCCTCCCCAAGAAAATCATAGGGTTCCTTTGCCTCCCGCCGGCGCCGCCGCTGATCCGCCTCATCTCCGGTGGCCTTAGGGCATGGCAGCACGATGGATCCCGGGCCTTGCTGGTGGGAGGGCTCCGTTTTAGATGTTTTTCAAGTTTTGTTAGGGTTTGCGTTCTGCTCAGGAAGACGAGACGGTGACGGCTACCTGAAGATGGAATAAGGTCTTCTCCATCGTCTAGCCACCGTTCCGGCGGTGTGTCTACCATCGTCGGTTGGCGTGTGGAGGTGTGTCTCCGGCAGATCCATCCTTCGTGGATTTATTCAGATTTGGTCGTAGTTCGTCTACGTTTGTATTTCTTCAGGATGAATCCTTCCGATCTATACCACTCTTCATCGGTGGCGGTTGTTGTTCAGCTGCGCTGGTCCTATGGGGCCTCAACACGATGACTTTCCGATTGTCTACTACAACAAGTTTTGCCCGCCTCCAGCGAGGGAGGGGCGATGACAGCGGCGCGCCTTCGGCTCACTTCAGTACTTGTAGTTGACGTTAAGTGGTCGATGGACCTGAATATAATTTTTATTATTTTTGGTGTCCGTTGTATTGCCATGATTGAAGATGATAGATTAGAAGTTTTCTTGCAAAAACATAAAAAATAAAAGAGCACCTGACCGAACCACACAATGGATACTGTTTATAATAGTGTGCAGCCGTGGACATCATTCGTAATGACGTTCAGAATGGACGCAGCTGTCCATAGCGTCCTTCCTATTTATCAAATTTCGGCCTAACTATTATCAGTTTTGGAATTGCTGCATTACTAGTTACTACTAATAAAACCCCCGGCAAAACCATGGCCCAAAAACAACAAAGGAAGACGTGTTTTTAAACAAGTATCTCCCTTCTTTCTGTATATCACGTATTAAAAAAATATTTCAAAATTCATACACAAACTACACATTTCTATGTGTACGTACACTTTTTCTAGAATTTTTTGAAGGTGTACAAAATCAAGTTTCAGATTTAAAAAAAAAGGGCTCCAAAGGAGCTCGGGACATCAAACGCATTGTATAATTGTGCGAATTAATGCCCCCCCCCCCTCCGGTATTTCGCAAAAAAAAAAATTAAAAATTTAATGCCCCCATACAATGTGGAAACCTGTGCACATCGCTGCTAGTATATAAATAGGCCAGCGCCATGCCTATTGCAGCATACATCTAAGTAGTTGCATATCTCACACTACTCATAACAATGTCGATTTCGTTCTCGCAAGAGCTGCTCATCCCCACCGTACTCGTGCTTCTTGTTTCCCTGTCCTTGTACTTCAGGTCTAGTAATAGATCAAAGAATCCATCGGTGCTCCCAATCGACTGGCCAATAGTGCACATGTTGCCGGCATTCATTGCCAACCTCCATAACTTGTGTGACTATTGTGCTGCGAGCCTCGCCGAATCAGGCCACAACTTCAGGATACATCTTCCCCAAGCGCACATGTTCCTCACTTGCGACCCTGTGAACATCCGGCACATCTTCACGACGAACCACACAAACTTCCCAAAGGGTGTGGAGTTCGCAGCCATCTTCGACATCATGGCTGGAAGCTTCTTCACCATTGATGGTGAGCCGTATCATCGGCAGCGCGTGAAATTTCATAGCGTGCTCGGCAACCCACGGTTGGTTGCCAGTATGGTAGCTTGCTGCCGCGACAAGATGGAGAATGGCCTCCTCCCATTGTTCACCCAAATGGCGAGCACCGGCACTCCATTCGACATGCAAGAAGTGGTTTCGAGGTTTATGTTTGACCTGGCTGCCACATCACTCTTTGGTGTGGACACTAGCCTCTTATCCTTGGACATGCCTCCCATGGACGTTGCGATTGCGATGGACACGGTAATGGAGGTAGCCCTTTTCCGGCACATCCTGCCGGCCTCTTGCTGGAAGGCTATGAGGTGGCTAAACATCGGCCCAGAGAGAAAGCTCGATGCGGCACACACGGTGCTACGAGGGTTTGTCACAGATATGATCAAGAAGAAGATTAACAGAGGCTGTATTGGTAATGAAGAGGAGCAAGAAAGTGCAGATATTCTATCTTCCTACATCAACGATCCAGACTATGCCGATGTTGAATTGCTCCATGCGATGCTCCTCGCTTTTATGCTCGCTGGGAAGGACACAATTGGCGTGACCTTGATATGGACCTTCTACAAGCTCGCCCAGAATCCTAAGATTGTGTCAATCATCCGCAGTGAACTCTCACCCATTGCATTACACAAAATAGACACGGGTACGGGCGCCATGGTAATCTTTGACCCAGAGGAGACAAAATCCATTGTCTACTTGAGAGCTGTCTTGTATGAGACTCTCAGATTGTACCCACCGGCCCCTTTCGAGCGCAAGACAATGGTTGCTGATAATATCATGCCGAGTGGTCATGAGGTGCACGCCGGCGAAACCATCCTTATTTCACTCCACTCCATGGGGAGGATGGAGGACATATGGGGCAAGGATTGTCACGACTACAACCCGCATAGGTGGCTCTTGGAGGGTAGCAACAAGTTGAGGTATGAACCATCTCACAAGTTTTTGTCCTTCAACTCGGGTCCAAGGATTTGCCCTGGGAAGGAAATCGCTGTTATCCAAATGAGAACCATCGTTGCCACGGTGGTATGGAACTTTGACTTGGAGGTGGTGAAAGGACAGAGTATCGAGCCGAAGTTGTCTTGTACACTACAGATGAAAAATGGGCTCATAGTGAAGCTGAAGAAGCGTGAAATACGTGAAATATAACACAAGACTCTTTATCTTTAAGCGCATTGATTTTATACAACAAGGTGTGTGTGTGTGTGT